GTGACAAATGATAAATGACTTATGCAAAGCTACTCCCTCATACGTGATGGTCTGAGTGCACTAATAGCTAATTTACAGATGTGCTTAGAGTATAATCTCAACACCTGAGCAGCACTATGGAAAGAAGCTACAAAGCATCAGTCCATATATCTGAAGTTTTGTCAATTTAAGCATCAACATCTGTTTTTGCGTGGATAACTTTCTGAAAGGAATTACATAATTTTCACTTTCTTATACAAAATATCACAGATTTGTTATTTCCCTGCACTCTGGAATATGATTAAAATGTGACTTAGTGAGCTATGATGTAACACAGAGATGCCCTCAACTGCTATTGAGGTGTGTAGGGCTACTTGCCCTGACTAAATAAAATCAAATGCTATAACTTTTGCATTTGAGTTCCAGTCATTTATTATGTTTACTTCTCCTCCTCCCTTGCTTTTAGTCTGTCAGTTGTCACTTTTTGATCATCTCAGTGCACCAGTTGGAATAAACCCTGTTCTAACCTTTGAACCTCTGCTTCTCATCTAATGTGGATGGAAAACACGTAATCAGGCTCATTAAGACACCATAGGAAAAAAGAGTAAATAAGCTTTGATTAAAGGCCCAAAGGCCTTTGTCATTGTGAGGCTTACTTGATGGATTTGGTGACATTTGCTGGCTGCTCAGATTATTTTACTTTATTTTTATTTCTTTTTTGGTTCTCAATTATACTTCAAAATGATAAATCTATCAAATAGGTGAAGTCAGGATAAGTGAATCTATTACACATCAGTGAAGTGTATATTTACCACAACATTTTTGTGTTCCATATTCAATTACAGCGCACATAAATTTTGTTATTATTTTCAGCATGTTAGAAAACATTTTTTAAATGCATTAGATCATGCTAAATACACTTCTGTATACAGCTCCTGAAATATGTTAAGACATGACATCTTCCAGACTAAGAGCAACCTGTGGAGACTGGGGCTCTTTTTATAAGTCATCATTGGCAGTCAACATACTATTTTCTCTTTCCACAAACAATTATTATTAATGCTCAGTATACCCTAGATTTTCCTAGTGGATTATACAAAAATCAGTTCCAATTATATGTTGGTATTGCCTCACTCTGTCTTCTTTTGTGAAGTGACTGGCAGATTATTCTGGTCTCTATATTTACCTCCTGGAAGCCCTTCTCCTGCCTCCTACCCTACTATAATATTGCTTCTCTAGCAGCAAAGATAATTCCTGGAAAATTCCTATATAGTATCCTTCAAGACCCAGTTAAAGTGTCACCTCATCACTGACACCTACCCAGACTTATGCAGTACATTCCCAAATTTGCCTTCCTTTGTATTCTCATAAACCTTACCAGGAAGACAGGGATTTGGGCAGTGCAAGGTTGGTATTTCAAGTAAAGTGTTCTACATGATAAAGTATTAGAGGGCATTTAAAAGTCTACAGACTATTTGGGAAACACTAGGTATAGTATCACTAGAACATACAGTCCATCTGGGAGAGTTACAGGCTCAGTGGCCAGAATGTTATATTTGGGCCACATTGAAAAAGGTCATATGTCATGATTAGGCTTTTCATCTTTCTCGAGGAAGGAATAGGTCATGAGCATAGGTTTCTAGGAATCCTACTAAGTTAAAATCAGATTTATTTTTTAAGGATAACTGACAACACTATAGCACATTTGTCTGGAGGGTAATGTATCAGTGTGGAGTACTAATTAGGAAATTGTTGGGTACTGGTGGGAGAAGGTTAAAGGCAGTGGGGGTAGAGAGAATGGATAGATTTAGTCATAAGACTTGATGATTGATTGGATGCAGAGGACAAAGAAGAATGAAGTCTTGAGGAAAATTAAAGATGGGGTAAAAGATGATCCCTCTATAATCTAAATTAGAAAGACAGGAAGAAGAGTAGACTTCTTTGGTGGGAATCAGATAAAGGGGAAGTGAGAATGAGCTTAGTTTTTATAAAAGGGGGTACCATGTAATGGTTAAGAGCATATCTGAAGCCAGACTTCCTAGTGTCTAATCTGGGCTTTTTCTCCTATTTACTTTGTGACCCAGGGAAAGTTATCTAACCTCTATGAGCTGATTCAGTCAAATTATATATAAAATGGGGATACTACTACCATCTCTCTCGTAGAATTGCTGCGATGTTTAAAATGAGGTGACATATGTATTTAGAACATTGGCACATGGCTTATAAATTCTATTTTTAATTTCTTACTTTTATGGTGCCCATAAGACATCTAGGTACTTGGACATGTAGATTTGAATAGAGAGAGATATTAGTAGGGCCTATAAATGTGGGGAATCACTAGAACATAGTTGGGTGTTAAAGTTAGAGAAGCAATTGAGAACATTCGAGAGGAAAATAAAATACATATGTATGTACACAGAGAAGAAACATAGAAGTAAGAAGAGGAGAAACACATGAAGGTGGAGAAAGAACAGTTAGACATAGTTAGAGAACAAGGAGAGAATCATGCCTGGAAAACCAAAGGCAGTACAATTTTCAAGGAGGGAGGTAATCAATAGAGCCAAGAGGTCAGGATTGGAAAGAGGCCATTGGATTTTGAAATTAAAGGATCACTGTTGACCTTTTTAAGAAATGTGAAGAAGTTGAGTTGTGGAAGGAAACTTAGGAAACAGAAAACAAGTATAGATGATTCTTTTAGAGACATGGATTATAAAATGAAAAAGGAAGATGAAAAGCTAGTTTGAAGAAATGTAGGATCAAAAGGAGAGATTTGAGGATGCTACTAAGCTGAAGGGAAATCAATGAAGAGAGGGTATATGAACATATATGATCTATTGTCTATTTCTTGAACTACAAAAGATAATGAAAGTCCTATTATAGTTACAAAATTTCCTTTTAAAAGTGGGCTAGAAAACCTCTGTGAGAAATTAATAAGGAGTTTAAAAATTTTTTTAAGAATATAGTTGTTATTTAAAAATATAATTAGTCCTGCATGTTAACAGAATTACTTCTTGAGACTGTAATAACATTTTGAGAAGTCTCAGAATACTACAGAAATAGAAAACTAATTCTGTTAACATGCAGCACTAGTTATATTTTTTAAACAACAGATTTAAACTTCTGTTTTTCATTGGGTATTCTGAATATATTTTTGAACTTTTAGGTGATATTTTTTCATTCACATGAAATATTCCCAAACAGACCCACCTCACAATTCTTGTGAGAGTAATAGCCTCTGTGTGTAACAAATCACTAAGTTTTGTAGCTTATCAAAACAGGACATTTCAAATTGTGATTTGCATATGTTTGCTTCTGTAATCAATAGTCAACAATTTTCTTGAATATCCAGGAAGATGTCTAGGATTCCTCCATATGTTACTTGTTAACAATTTGCCACTTGGTAATTCCACTTTATCAGTCCAGCTTCCTGAAGGCTAGCAAATGTCATTTCCATATCATTGCTTGGGGTGAACTACTCTATGGTAGAGGTATCATTTTAAAGGTCAGACAATGCAATGAAAAGTTTGGTTATATCTAAAACAATTCCTCCTAAACATACTTTGCAAGACAAATACAAACTCTGACATATAACTGAACATCAATGACACTTAGTTAGGTAAACCCAATCACAGGAAAAAAATCAAAGATTCCAAGAAGTCATCTAAAAAGGACAGTTTTCAAATCTTTCAGTAGAGACATTAAAATCGTTGAAATTTTATAATAATCATATTGTAAAAAGGAAAACACTGGAAGGAACTACCTCAAATATTAAAATTGCTATACATTGGAGACTTAAAAGGCACAACATAAAAGCTTATCCAAAATGTTCATCATAGTTGTAGCAGAAGTAACAATTAACAGAGATCTTTTAATATTTGGAGAGGGATTATGGTTTTGTAACACTACAATATTCTCTTTGGACAAGCCAATTCATCTAAGTGCTATGTTTCAAACTCAGGAGAAAAAAATAAATAAACTTACCAGTACATCATAATATAATAAAAGAGAAGAAATTTTTTGTTTTACATCAGATAAGAAATTTTAACATTTAAAGACTTACTCCTAAACAATTTGAAAGAATTACATGTGAAACAATCTTCTCTTTACTGAATGACACTATAGGAGTTTAAAGAATATTTCCAAAAGAGTTTCACATGGTGAATGAAATGACAAACACTGTATAAAGAAAGAGATGAGCATCAGAGACCAAAACCTGGGCATCAAATTCTGACTCTACCACTTACAAACTGTGTCACCTTAGACAAATTATTTAATCCCAATAAACCTAGTCATCTCATAAGCAAAATGGATATGACAGATACCTACATAGTTAAGTTTTGAGAATTAAACCAGATCATGTACCCAAATTTAAAGGTTTAGTCCAGGAACTCACACTGTAAATATGGTCCAATACCAATAATATGAGTTCTTGTGAATCAGAACAAAGTTACCTTGCATAAAAAGGGTCATTTCCTGAAACCATCTAAGAAGAGATCAAAGTTTTATCATTTTCTAAAGACAACATTTAGGCTGGCTTTACAAAGGGCTATCAGATTAGACCCTGACCTAAGACTTGAAATTCAATCTGCCGCTATTCTGGTGAGTCAGACTTCTGGGTGTTGTATAAATGTTTGGTTTTCTTAAATTTCTACAAGAGGTCCACAGAATTCATTAACACTTGTTAGGATGATGGCATGGGCTAAATGGCTTACCTTCTTGCCCTGATTATTGGTAAGGCTTTAATCTCCATGGTTTATTGCATTAATTACTATATTTCTACCCAAATATTAATGATAATTGTAATCATCATATTTATAACAATCCAAAGTACTTTTCCTAATTTTAGACCAATTGTTATTCTCACAGACAACACTTCTAGCTTTTATGAATGACCAGTAACAGGAAGAATTTCATTTCTACATTCCATTCTATTTAAATGCTAGCTAAAATGGAGTTGGTGTCATACAAAATGAGTACCCTAAATATAACCCTAGAAGCAGTTTAAGACAAAACTAACTCACCTGTAACTGCAAAGCTTCATGATTTTCTAATCCTTCCACAATTGGTGAAAATCGTTCCCTGTTATTTCTTTCTGCTGCTGTAGTTATAGCCCCTAAGAGTTTCTCTAGACTAAAGAGGAAAAAATGAAGAGAAATGAAAAATGCATCCTACTAACAAATATACATATGGGTTATCTCTTTCAGGCTTCCCTTCCTCTCTGGCTCTTTATGTTTACACACACCTTTACAATTTAAGAATTGTGTTCCTGTCCATATATTTCTATAAGTCAAATACTGATAGCTTTAAATAATTTTAGGTCATCAAAATGAAAATCCATTAAGCAACTTGAAGAAAGTAACTTTTCTGAGTGGCATTTTAAAAAAGACACTTAATTGATAAACATTGGAATTTTTAATTTCAGGTTTTGATATTTCATGTGTTGACATTAATATAACTTAAACATAACATGCTACCTACAATTATTAACTTTTTTTTCAAGTGTAAACAAACAATAACTTTATAATAAAGTGCTGGAAAGAATACATATTTTTAAAAGAACTTAAAAAAGTCAACATTCTTTAAAAATGGGCCAAGAAAAAAACTGAAAGAGAAAGCTTAGGTAGTTAGAGAAACATAATTAACTAGCACAAGGACCTTATTCACCTGAACAAAAATACAGGAAACTATCACTGTACAGTGTCTGAATCAAGTTAACCTCTATGTAGTATACTACTCTTAACCAAACAAGACCTGAAATTATAATTAAATTATAACAAATATACCAGGATGGGTTGTATCTGAATTAAGCAGTGAAAAGCTAATTGACTAGAAAAATATTTCTTAGTTTTCTATAAACTCATTTTTCTATAAAACCTAAGGAAAGCTTACTTTTGCACATTACCTCATTCTCAGTTGGTTCTCACTGACTTAAGCTTAATGCTAGATGATACTTTTGTTTCACGTGTACCCTTTGGTTTCTAAGGACACTAGCCAGCAATAAGCAACATCTCATTTTATTCTGAGAGGTATGAGAAAGTCAATGTATTAGAACATGCTTAAATCTTTGCAAGGCCCTGTTCTGATTCAAACTGAAAATATTACTGTCACAAAAAGCTCTCAGAAGAAATATTTTAGTTCATGCCCTTAGCAGATATTTCATTCTTTATTACAATGTTTTCTTACTAACTGGATTTATTAATTACCTCAAATCTGGAATTTTGCTTTGATTCACTATTATTTCCTTAAAAAGGTATGATCTGATGTACACTCAGCAGCAACTTAATGAAATTGGCAAGTTTCAGCACTCTGAGTAATTACCAACAGCCCTTCTGTTTTTTTCTTTATAACAGGTTAGTTTATTTTACTCTACAAATCATTGTTTTTCACTTAGCACAGGCAGATAAAATAAAACACTACTATAAAATAATAGTACAAATAAAAGCATCTAGTCAATTCAGTTAGACATAAAATCTTGTGATGTGCATGTGTATGAGCCTGGGGTGTCTGTGTGTGTGTGCATGTGTGTGTATAGCTAATATTGTTCTGTGTATTTAGCTAAAATTTTCTGTGATTTTTTTCCCTACTTTCCTTATGATTGTTTTACCTTCAGCTAGACAAACTTCTATTCATTCACTTTGAACAAATTTGAACATTTCTCATTAAGATCCTCTGTTTAAACCCATCTTTCAAAGAATCAAGAAAGAAAATGCTAAAATGTAAATATGTGAGATAAAACTGTCAATAATTTTTTTTTCTAAAATTTAATACTATTTTCATGCAAGGTATCTAAATAAACAGAACAAAAGTAGGACTTGTGAATTTCTCAAGTGTCATTTTCCATGCAGTTAATATAATAATATAGCAATACTTACATGTTCTCTTCTCCAACAATGCAAATAGCAGAAAGTATTTTTACTATTTCAGTCATCATGTTGGGTTGTTTGGGGTCAATTGCTCTTGCCAGTAGTAAAAGACTTCTTTCATCTCCTAGAATCCTTTGCAGTCCAAACTAAAAAATATAAAACAAAAAAGAACCATCATTCAAAATGTCATTGTAACATATCTTGAATTAACAAAATGATTTTCTAAAAACCCACACCTCCACTATGAGGTTCTACCTGATTTTAATTATATGGATGCTTTTCAAATGCAGTTATTATCTTTGTTTTTTATTTGAAATGACTGCATCTCAGAGTTTTTTCCCCTTAATCAGATATGATCTCCATTAGCCTCCCTAAAGATTTGGAAGAAATATGGGAACAGTCAGTATTTCCTCAGCAAAGAACATGTAAATCACATACTGATAGGATTTTCTAAAGTAATTCTACTTATGTCATTGAGTCTCCTTGGAGATGTCAGGAATTCATGGTTAAATTCTCCAATATGTTGTGTGGAAAATCAAGTTGAACAAAGAGGATATAACGTTGAAAAGCTCTTTTGTATACTATATGCCAGTAAGAAGCAATAAACCTCTGTATGGATTTTCCCATACCTTTTCTCTCTCACCCTCCCCCTTTTGGGCAGCTGTGCTGCATGACAGAAGCTATGAACCCAAAGAAATGGTGCCTCGGTTTTAGTAACTGTCACAGTCAGGTAAGCAGAGATGACACCGTTTTCACTTATTTTCTAGGCTTGAATATGCATGCGCATGTACATTGAAAGAATGAATAGGTAAAGAAATGTTAAAGAAAACTTGGCTTTTTGCTACATTAAGAAGGTAATATTTTCTTTGATCTTTCTCCCACAAAGTACTTCTCAGATTTCTTATAAAGTGTGTTTGCTTCTTTTTACCGTCTAATAGTGAAATCTGACATGTCATTGGAGCAAAATTGCCATTGCAAGCTAACCTTTAGTTAAGCACTAATATATGAATATTTTCAAGGTTCCTAATTTAACTTCCAAGGAATTCCAGAGGGTGAGAAGAGAGGAACAGAACAAAAGCCCTTAAATGTGACTTTACCATAGCTCATAATTAAGGGAACATAAGAGACAACACACACACACAAAAGGAGACAAAAAAGATTAAAAAAAAAAAAAAGCTAAGAAAACAAGAAAGATAAGAGATTCCGTAGTAGATAAGGAATAGTAAGGAAAATAAATGAAAAATGTATGGATAAAATTAAGATAGATGATTGCCATGCAATTACCAAACTTAAAATAACAGCTTAAAAAATTAATGAGACTGAGAGTGATGTCACTTAAATTTTCAAATTTCCATTTATTGTTTAAAAGTAGTTTCTAATATGTAGGGACTGAAAATAAAAATGAAGGTATAAGAAATGATGGAAAGCCATGCATCTAAACATCAGAGCAATATTACAGCAATAGAAGTTAAGCACCAATGGATTGCTTTTTATGATACTATTACTACATGCATTGTATAAGGGAAAAGAGTTTTTGAAGTATGTAAACTCCTTGGGGCAAAAAAACTTGATGTTTAAGTCATTTAGATGAAAGTTTCATGCTTGATTATGACAATTTATTCCAACATGAAATGGATATATTACTATATTTTTATTTTGAATGTGTAACTTATGCCTATTATTTGACACCACTGTAACTTAAGAGATCAACCATTTATTCATGTTCTGAGCACGTATGTTCAAGACATTAACATACCCTAACTAAAGTTTAATCTTAAGTCAAGCCATCGTGTTCTTCAAAACTGCCAACTTCTTAAGTAATAATAATTATGTATTGACCTATCAACTTACATCTTATGGGAAAAGGTTCTACAGGAAATCTCACTAATATGACTTTCTCTAGTAACTATCCTGATTACAGTTACCTAGTATCCTGGGAAGCTGTGAGAGGAGACAACATGAGTCAATGAGAATTTAGAGTAAAGGGTCCTATAGCTAATTTTACAGATGAAGGTACTGACAGCTAGAGAGGCCCAGTGACTTTCCAAGGATCACTCAACTTAGTGACAAAGCATGAACTATATCTCCTGATTTCTAGTACCGTATTGTCTATTATTTGTCTCCCTCAATTGCAGAAAGAGATCTATCTTGAGCTGTGGAGATGCAATGTTCTTTAAGTGCTTTCTCGTTAGCCATCAGGTTCTGCATAACTGCCACCAAAGACTTAGGAAACAGATGTTGAGCAATTCTATACTAGTACTGATGGAAATCTTTCTGGAATAAACTTCCAGGAGCAACACAATTAGTTTATATTCTATACAGGAGTCTCATGTCAGCTAGCAAGCATCCATTCCACATGACAAAAAATTATTTGCTGATACATGTGTGTATGAAATACATATATTTATATATAATCCTATATGCTTACGGAAGATGGTTACAGATTGCTTAAACAGACAATCTTATTGCATTGGTTATTAATAGCTATATATTTTATATATTTATATTACATTAATAGCTTTATATTTGGCAAGTTTTGGTTATTGCTATAATTATTTATTTCTCTTATATATTTTGAGATTACTAAAACACCATGTATGGGGAATTATATTATTAGTGAATCAGTCAGTGACATTCTACCTACAGGAATGTAGAGTAAATCATTTCGAAAACAGTAACAATTTATAGAAAAAATGACTATAACTTCATAACCTGAGCAAAGACTATTTTTAGAAGAAAACTTTTATCTAGAATTCAGTCTTTTATAATGCAACTGGTATCATACATATACAAAAATCCTCACTATTTTCTAGAAATGTCTTTTATGTATGTTACCTCCTGATAGTAATTGAACATAAAAGAAAATCTTAACCTTATAATGCGCTTAGCAAGCAAGTCAAAGCATAGCTTTGAATTTTCCTTTTCAGCGGAATAAAAACACTTTATAAGGAAATAATATTCAATATATCACACTTAAATTTTTCTACCATAAAAGAAAAAAGGTACTGTCTAATTTGGGAACAAGACTTGCATGTCTGCATGATTACAAAAACCAAGCAGGAAGTATTTTGTGAAGCGAATATATTTTAAGTAACATTTAAAAGAAACGTATGATGATTTGCATCACAAAGACCCTTTGTAAACTGAATAAGAACACACTATTTTTTTCTGTTTCATACTTTCAGACTGTTGGACAAGTTGTCACCTTTTGTGACAGAGGCAGAAATAAATACTACTTACTTTATTATTCATAAATGCTTTGAGGCACTGAATAAGTTTATGCTGATTCTTCTTGTCAATATTTTCTTGCCTGAATAAAAGAAAATAAAAATACATTATGTTGTTGTGCTTAAAAATTTTCCCCTTTTGTAATTTTTTTTCGTGTTTATTCTTACTGTTTCTTGTCCAGAAGCTTTTCCAGCACATCCAATAAGAGTCCAAGACCTTCATGGCCAAAGTTGTTAACCCAG